GCACCCAACTGTGCCTAACCCATACACACTGCTGGGATTATTGCCAGCGGAGGACAGTTGGTTCACCTGCTTGGACTTAAAGGATGCTTTCTTTAGCATCAGGTTGGCCTCGGAGAGTCAGAAACTCTTTGCTTTTCAATGGGAAAATCCAGAAACAGTGTAACCACCCGGTACACCTGAACCCAGCTACCCCAGGGGTTCAAGAACTCTCCCACCATCTTTGGGAAGGCATTAGCCCGTGACCTCCAAAAGTTTCTTGCTAAGGACTTAGGCTGCATGCTGCTCCAATATGCTGGTGACTTTTTATTGGGACACCCCACGGCAGTTGGGTGTGCTAAATAAATGGATGCCTTACTTTAGCACCTGGAGGACTGTGGGTATAAAGTGTCTAAAGAGAAAGCCCAGATTTACCAACAGCAAATGTGATATCTGGAGTTCACCATCCAGCAGGGAGAGTGCAGCCTAGGAGCAGAAAGGAAACAAGTCATTTGCAACTTGCCAGAACCCAAAACTAAAAGGCAGGTGAGAGAGTTCCTAGGAGCCGTGGGTTTCTGTAAATTGTGGATTCCAAACTTCACAGTACTGGCCAAACCCCTACAACAAAATGACAAAGGAGGGGGAGACATAAACCCCTTAAACGGGGACCCCAGCAGTGGCAGGAACTGAAAGCGAAACTTTTACCAGCCCCGGCTTTTGGGGCTACCTGACTTAACAGAGCCTCTTACACTGTATGTGTCAGAAAGAGAAAAGTGACAGTTGAAGTTCTAACATGAGCCTTGGGGCAAAATTTAAATATCAAAGCACCCCACACAGTAGTGACTCTAATGAATACCAACGGACATCACTGGTAAACAAATGCTAGGCCAACTAAATACCTGAGCCTGCTAAAGTGAAAATCCCGCATCACCACTGAAGTCTGTGCAACACCTTAAGCCCTGCCATTTTGCCCCTGGTGCCAGAAGGCCCATGAAGTAACCCGTGTGCTGCTTTGAGACCTCATTCCTACGTTTGGACTGCCACTGCACATTGGATCAGACAACAGACCAGCATTTGTGGCAAATTTGGTCCAGAAAACAGCAATAACCTTGAGTATTAGCTAGAAACTGCATGCTGCCTACTGACCACAGAGCTCCGGAAAGGTGAAGAGAATGAACTGGACCATCAAAAATTGGGAAAATGTGTCAGGGAACAGGAATAAAGTGGGTGCAGGCACTTCCCTTGGTGTTAGTCAAAATTAGATGTACTCCCTCTAAGAAGACAGGATATTCCCCCTATGAAGTCTTATATCATAAGCCCCCTCCCATACTGCGGGCACTCCTGGGAACTCCTCAGGAGTGCGGAGAGACTGAGCTAGGACGACAGTTACAAGCTCTAGGGAAAATCACTCAGGATATTTCAACCTGGGTAAATGAGAGATGTCCTATAAGCACATTCTCCCCAGTTCACCCTTTCTCACCAGGTGATTGCATGTGAATAAAGGACTGGAATGTGGCCCCTCTGAAGCCATGGTGGAAAGGACTCCAGACCGTGATCCTGACCACTCCCATAGCCGTAAAGGTAGAGGGAGTCTCAGCCTGGATCCACCACAGCTGTGTGAAACCAGCAGCAGCTGAAACTTGGGAAGCTAGACCAGGCCCAGAGAATGACTGCAGAATCACCTTGAGATGGACAACAAGCCCTGCTCCAGCCACATCCCGGAAGCTGGCTGGTCCACACACAGCCGAAGCATGAGGAAGTTCATTGTGGGACTTATTCTTCTTAGTATTTGGACTTGTACAGTAGGGACATTAACTGATTTTGAAGAATGCTGTCAGTGTGTGCACCAGTTACTGAGGTAAGACGTAAAGTTACTGCCATTGTTTCATTCTACAGTTATTATGAATGTGCAGGGACACAGAAGGGAACCTGCTTATATAATGGTATTCAGTATAAGGTGTGTAATCCAGGGGATGGACAGCCTGATGTCTGTTACAATCCATCAAAACCCCCATGCATACGACTTTTAAAATTAAACTCCTAACAGGGCGATGGAACAGCCCTACTAATAGCTAAAACAGAGGAGAAGGGAAGCCCAAAACAGGTCACCCTAAGGTCTGATGCATGTGCAGCCATCAGTGCCTATCATTCCAGTTGAGGAGGCTATGGTTCCCTCGGATGGGAACAAAGTTACACAAAAGAGCATAAGTGTATCTGCCAGAGAACCTACTGGTGCAGTAAATGCATTTTTGGGTCATGGGTCATCTAGGCCAGTTGGAAAAATAATACAAATAATCTTGTTTGCCTTGTAAAAGGGAGGGACACCATTCCAAGGAGTAATGTCCTGTGTCTTGGGATATTGTAACCCAGTAGAATTAATGATCACAAACCCCCAAGACCCTAAATGGGAAAAAGGGTAGAGTGTAATGCTAGGAATTGATGGGAAAGGGCTTGATCCCAGAGTCAGTATCCAGGTTCAGGGAAAATCCAAAAACGCTCAGCCCAGCCAGTGTACCAGCCCTTCTAAAATATATTAATAAATAAGCCAGTGCTGGAACTTCTGAAAAAGACAAAGAACTTGTTCCTCCAACTTGCTGAAAATGTAGCCCATTCCCTTAATGTCATTTCTTGCTGTGTATGTGGAGGAACTACTATGGGTCATTGGTGGCCATGGGAAGCCCGTGAGTTATTATCCTCTGATCCTGTCCCTGACCTGACCTCAGTTCAAAGAATTCAAACCAACAGTTTCTGGGTTTTAAAGGATCTGATTATTGGACAATACTGTTGGAACAGAGAAGGAAAAGACTTCACTGTTGCAGTAGGAAAGCTTAGCTGCCTAGGGCAGTGACTGTATAATGGAACAGTGGACACTGCAACCTGGTGGAGCTCAAACTACACAGCGAAAAACCCCCTCCTAAGATTTCCAAAATTACAGGATGCTTGGAACCATCCTGGGTATCGGAGAAACGGGACGGCCCGGGCTGGGTTGTACTGGATATGTGGACACAGAACATATGTACAACTGCCTGAAAGATGGACAGGTAGCTGTGTCATAGGCACCATTAAGCCTTCCTTTTTCCTATTGTCTGCCAAGACAGGTGGGCTGTTAGGACATCTAGTCTACTCCGCCCAGGAGAAAAGAAGTCTAAAGATAGGTGAATGGGAAAATGCTAAGTGGGCACCGGAAAGAATTATTGAGTACTATGAGCTGGCCACATGGGTGGGGAATGGCTCATGGGGACACCAGACTCCTATCTATATGCTCAATCATAACCAGTTGCAGGCTGCCTTGGAAATACTCGTTAATGAAATGGGCAAAGCTTGGTCCATTTTGGCCGGATAAGAAACTCAGATAAGAAATGCGATTTATCAGAACTGGTTGGCCTTAGATTATTCGCTAGCAGCTAACGGAAGAGTCTGTGAAAAATTCAGACTGACTGCCGTCTACACATAGATGACCAGGGTCACACAGTTAAGAATATGACCAAACTGGCCCATGTGCCTGTGCAGGTATGGCACAAATTCAACCCTGAGTTCTTAAAGATTGGTTCTCAACCTTGAGAGGATTAAAGACCCTCATCATAAGCGTGGTAACAATAGTAGGTGTTCGTTTGCTACTCCCCTGTTTTCCCCCCCTTGTTACTCTAAATGGCTAAGAAATTCTTTACTACCGTAATAGACCAGAGAACCACATCACAAATGTTTTATATGTGTCATTATCAATCAGTTTCTTCAGAGGATCATAAAAATAAGAGTGAGAACTCTCACTAATGTTATAGGTGAGGTTCTCAAAGCTGGGAATGAGGAAGGAGACCCAAGCATCTAAGATCATCTCCCCCTTAACTTCCACACTGCATTTCAATAGAAGTAAAGGCTGGCTGACTGGGCGCCACCTATATCGCCTTCCTACAGATAGTAGGCATGGTATGGGGGAAACTTTCCGGAAGGCATTGTTTTTACTTCAACAAGATCAAACCCCCACCCCATGCCTACTCCATGGACCAAGACCCTTTTCATATGTAATCTCTAAAACTGTAAACCGAAGACCCTTTCACGTGTAATATCTAGAGTTGTAAGCCTATATAAATGCAGAGCTTCTCTTTGTTAGGTGAGTTTGGCTATTGGGCAGCTATGCACCTTGCTCCCCACTGAAATAAATCACCCCTTCCTTCCTAGTTCGGTGTCCAAGAGGTCTTTCTCGCAGCTGCTCCTGCTTCACTAGGAGGGCAGCCACTGTCAAGCTACAAAATAACAATGTCATGTTCTGTGATTGTTCAGACAATGGACTCCCACATTTGTTATGATGGCCCTAGGAGATGAATTCAGCATTCAGGAGAAGATATGATCCAGTTGCCTCCAAGACTAGAAGAGCAGCATATACAAATACATAATGCACATGATACACAGTAAATAGGCTTCCACAGTGATTCTTCCCAGAACAAAAGAGGCCTGCCCCAAAGTGACTGTCTTTCCGTAAACAGCACAGGGGTATTTTTCAAACAACAGGTTCACTCCTTAAATAAGCATTTAATTTCCTCATCAGCAAAACCTTATCACATTTCAAATAACATCTCAAATCACCACCTTCTATCCTCCAAGCTCTTTTATGTCTTCATTGTTATTTGTATAATTTTATTAATAATCTTTGTTGTGTATTAATTTATTAGGTATGTGTCTTCCTTAGCTTTTCAGCACCACTGCAACCATGTTTTGATTTATTTCAGATTTCCAATCTCTGACCTTTCACACTGTCCCTTACACTTTCTTCACTGTCTCTTCCCTTCCATGCCCAGACTGGTTTCATAATCTACTAAAACAATTCCTCCTTTGCAAAGGCCCTTAACACATGCATTGGTCTCCCGCCACTGAATGCAAAAGCCAAAACCCCAATCCATGTTGAACCTAACTTCTTTGCAACTCAGAAGCAACTGACCTCTGTTGGGGAAAAAAAAAAAAAATCAATCACATAATTGGCTGACTGCTTTAAATTTAATGTATGATCTTCAAACTTAAACAGGACTTACCATTGTCTGATAATCCTTCGTTTTACTGGTAGACTTGGTCTTTTCATCAGAGACAACTGGATCATATCTTCTCCTTTCCTACTCTCACTGTAGGCCCACCTTCAGCTCGTGATCTTCATTCACATCTAACTGAGAAAACAGAAAGCTGAATTAGTTACCTAAGGCTGCTGTGAGGGTTAATACTGAGTGTCAACCTGACTAGATTGAAGGATGCAAAGTACCTTGATTGATCCTTCAATAAATTTGCATATCAGTATGTATGGTGTTTTCAATGGCTAAATTCAACATTAACATTTTAGTCAGTGGGCTGGGGAAGGCAGACCCACCCTTAATCAGGTGGGCACCATCTAATCAGCTGCCAGCAAATATAAAGCAGGCAGAAAAACGTGAAAAGGCGAGACTGGCCTAGCCTCCCAGCCTACACCTTTCTCCTGTGCTGGATGCTTCTTGCCCTCGAATACCTGACTCCAGGTTCTTCAGTTTTGGGGCTCAAACTGGCTCTCTTTGCTCCTCAAGCTTGCAGATAGCCTATTGTGGGACCTTGGGATCATGTTAGTTAAAACTTAATAAATTCACACACACACACACACGTTATTAGTTCTGTCCCTCTAGAGAACCATGACTAATACAGCTGTTGTAACAAATTCCCATACACTTGGCTTGACACAACAGAAATTGATTCTCTCACAGTTCTGGGGCTAAAAGTCCAAAATCAAGGTGTCGGCAGGGCCACTCTTCCTCTGAAGGCTCCAGGGAAAAATCCTTCCTCGCCTCTGCCAGCTTCTGGTGACTGCCATCGATCAGTCATCTTCCTTGATTTATATGCATCATTATTCCAATGTCTGCCTCTGTTGTCACCTGGTCTTTGTCCCATGTGCCTATCTCTGTGCCCAAATTTCCTCCTTCTTCTAAAGTACCCATCACTGGATTAGGGTTCACTCTAATATGGGATGACCTCACCTTAACTTGATTATACCTAAAAAGACTCTACTTACAAATAAGGTTACATTCATGGTTTCAGGATGCACATGAATTTGGGGGTGGGGGACGGATTTGAGGAGATTAACACTATTTAACCAAATATAAAGGCCCTCCATCATCTTCCTGCAAGGCTAAATACAAACCTACTCACAAATGCTACACCCTTCCTGTCTTACTTGTGTTATAGAAAATGCAGGTCCCTACCAACAGGAGGGCAGGTCCTTGTCCCTACGAACATGAATCCCCCAATTTACGGGCAGTATGTTTCTTTTTGTTGCTGCAGTTACCCCCTTACCTAACATCAACAATGTCCCCCCACTACATCATTTCCAGCAGAATGAAACTATACATTAGCATCTCTCATCTTAAGACAAAAGATAGGCCAGGTGCGGTGGCTCACACCTGTAATCTTAGCACTTTTCAAGGTTGAGGCGGATGGATGACTGAGGTCAGGAGTTCAAGACCAGCCTGACCAACATGGCAAAACTCCATCTCTACTAGAAATACAAAAATTAGTGGGTCGTGGTGGTGGGCACCTGTAATCCCAGCTACTTGGGAGGCGGAGGCAGGAAAATCGCTTGAACCTGGGAGGTAGAGGTTGCAGTGAGCCAAGGCTGCACCACTGCACTCCAGCCTGGGTGACAGAATGAGACTCCATCTCAAAAAAAAAAAAAAAAAAAAAAAAAAAAAAAAAAAAAAAAAAAAAAAAAAAAAAAAAAGATAAAAGATAAACAAATCCTTGATTCCACATACCCTTCTCGTTAGTTATTTCCACCACCTTACCCTTCTACCCTTTGTAGAAAAACTTGCTACTAACTGAAGCACGAGTTGGCATATGGAAGAGGGAGCTGATGTAACAAAAACCTATAATATGTGACACTGGTTTTAGGACTGGACTGTAGGCAGAAGCCTGAAGGGTGGCCAGGGGGCTGCTGGTGGAGGCTGGAATAGCAGTCAGGAACCTTTTATTGCAAGCTGAGAAAGGGAGCCTTTGTTACAGAGACTGTCACCTACCTTTGTTTACCTGGAAGATAGAAAATGCTGCAGAGAAACTTGGGGATCTGGTAAAAAGATTTTTAGGCTTAAAGGGGAATAAGACAATTGCCTTCTCTTAGCTGTGCATAACAAGGTATTGTAAGAAAGAGATGTTACAGAAAGAACTGTTAAGCAGAATTTTAAAAAAATATTTCCAGCACTTGTTAGGTTAGAAAACAAAGCTATTTTTATTCCAGCCTCTCTAGCTAGCAAAAAAGTAAGAAGTGAACTCAGAAAAGATCAAGTCCAGGACCTGCCAGTAAAATATGGCCTGACATTCAATATCAAATGAAGAGTGCAGCTATCACACCCTTGAAGACAACAGAAAGATTTAAGGTGGTATTTTATAGACTTTTCAGGACTTTCTTTTCTAGGAATCTTAATGGCATCCCAAGTTGTACCAACTTGGAAAAGAAGGGATACAGACAGTTCCAAAATAAAGAAAAATTCGCTCCCAATTTTCTATGGGCAGGAAGTAGGCTGAGAAATCTACTTAACTGCCAATATGAGCCATTTCTTATAGGAAAAGGATGACTCTAAGAGTGAAGAGCTGGCACGAAAAATGAAGAATCTTGACAAATGCTTACACAGTGGGGCTTGTTCTCTTGGGAGCTACCCAATACCCTATAAAGCAGCTTAGGATGAAATACTAAATAATGGGAGCCATAGAGTGAGAGAGACTGCAGGATGAGGGACCATCTTGAAGGTTCTAACTGCAGCTGAGTTGCCAGCTGAATGTAGCCACTGGAGTGACTTTTGCTATATCATGAGACAGAAGAACTGCCCAGCTGAGCCCAGTTAACACACAGAATCATGAAAAATAAATCATTATTTTTAGCCACTAAGTTTTAGGGTGGTTGTTATGCAGCACAGATAAAACATTTTTCTATCTTTATTCAATCTCTTGATAGCACACTCAATGTAGCTGATCATCCCTTCTTATTAAAAAACTTACATATCTGGCAATTAAGACTCCATGACTTCTGGTTTTCCCTTTACCCGACTGGCTTTTCCTTTAAACCTTAGTTCTATCAGTCTCCTCCTTCTCTTTTAGAGGGGCAGCTCCTTGGAGTTCTCATTTACACTCACTTCTAGGGGGAATCTCATCCAGTTGTGTAGGTTTAAATACCATCTATATATTCATAACTCTAGTACTGACCTCTTCTATAAATGTCAGACTCACAGATCCAATGTCTGGCTGGGCATTTTTCCACTTGTATGTTTTTATAGGTATCTTCTAACTACCCTTCTGCCTTAAAACCCTTAATAACTTATGTTTTAAAAGTGGTGCAATCTTGACTCACTGCAACCTCTGCCTCCTGGGTTCAAACAATTCCCATGCCTCAGCCTCCCAAGTAGCTGGGATTACAGGCATGTACCACCCCTACCAGCTAATTTTTTTTATTTTTAAGTAAAGATGGGGTTTCATCATGTTGGCCAAGCTGGTCTCAAACTCCTGGCCTCAAGTGATCCACCTGCCTCAGTCTCCCAAAGTGCTGGGATTACAAGCATGAGCTACCACACCCGGCCCCAGGGTTTGTTTTAATCAGGTATACCAAGATACGCAGACACAGAAGTGACTATGATGAAGGAAGGTTTTATACTCACAGATCTCTAGAAATAGGAAGGCACAGCATGCCACACAGGGCCACACAGGGAGGCACCAGTACATGTCTATTTTTTGCCCCTACTGTTACCTATCGCCTCAGCCAGTCATGATGTTAAAATATTTGACAAATAACTCCCTCTTCAGGTAGAAAAAGCTTTAGGATGGAGCTAGTTTCAATGAGGTTGAAAAAAGACAAGCCTTTTCATGAGTTTTTTGCACTTGATAGGTCAAATAATGACTCTTCTTTGGGAATGAGACTTTGAAGTAACTCCAGCCATGTCTACTGTCTCTGGTAGAGGTACTAGCTACATGGGCTGTAAGTTTTCAAGGCTACCATGGAACTACAAATGGGGGGCTGATAGGACTACACCTTAAAATACCACAAAGATTGCTGTTCTCACTGAGAGTTTGCTGTTTTTCTTCACTAAATGCTAGATGGGTTGTTGCAAGCCTTTGACTAATTTCCAGGGCCCTAAGAAAGTTGATTCTGATGATTATTGTCAGATTTTTCATCGCTTTTATGGAAGGTCAAACTTTCTGGGGTCCTTAATCCACCATTTTCACTGACATCACTCTTCCTTTATTTTTAAAAAATGTTATTTCATTGCAAAACACTTTTATTGGAAACCACAACTAAAATTAAAAAGTAACTTTTCTTTCTGTCCCCCAGGGTGGAGTGCAATGGTGTAATCTCGGCTCACTGTAACCTTCACCTATTGGGTTCAAGCAATTCTCCTGCCTCAGCCTCCTGAGTAGCTGGGATTATAGTCACCCACCATCACACTTGGCTAATTTTTGTATATTTTAGTAGAGATGGGGTTTCACTATGTTGGCCAGGCTGGTCTCGAACCCTTGACCTCAGGTGATCCACCCACCTTGGTGGATCCTGTTAGGCCTCCGAGTCCGAGCCTGGCCATTATAGCCTTGGTGACCCACAAGGACACCTCTGGATGGTCCCCAGAAGCCAGAAAGTCTGAGGTAACCACAAGTAACCAGGTGGCCACAGAAAGAAGTGAAACAACTTGTTCCTGCCTCAACTAATTGCTCTCCCCCTGCAACCTGCAACCATTGTTCCCGCTCAGCCTTGCAGAATTTCCCCAAGGAATTACCGCAAATTTTCTTTTGCAATACCGCTTGGCCACAATATAAATTGGACAATAGCTCTAAATGGCCAGAAAACAGTACCTTTGATTTTTCTATCCTGCAGGTTCCAGACAACTAATGTCGTAAAATGGGCAAATGGTCTGAAATTCCCTATATCCAGGCATTTTTTTTACACACCAATCCCTCCCTAATCTCTGCTCCTTCTTTCCCTTCCACCTGCCCAGAATCCTCCTTGTCTATCAACCCTTCCAAACTTTTTCCTCTCTGCCTGTCCAAACCAGGCCCTAATCCAGAGCCTAACCCCCCACCTAGATCCTTCCTCCTCTTCCACTGCCCACAGCCCACCTCCTTATGCCCCTCCTGTCACCTCCCCACCTCATACCCAGTCAGGCTTGCAGTT